CCTCAGAGCTGACGTGATGCCAATCTGCTTGACTCAGTTCTCTGCCACATCATTTCCCACAGGATCCACAGGGATGGCCAAGAGGAACGTAGACGTTAACCCACTAAGTTTTTTGGGGTTTTTTTTAATTGATTTTAGAGAGACAGGAAGAGAGAGAACATCACTTTGCTATTCCACTTACCGACACATTCATTGGTTTGATTCTTGCATATGCCCTGACCAGGGATCAAACCTGCAAACTTGATGTATCCCTCAGATGGTCTAACCAACTGAGCTACCACTCAGGGCATTAAACTGTTTTCTTAAAGACCTTAAATCCATACAATAGGCCACGTAGGGATAAGTTACTCACCTGACCTGGCAGGCATTTGGGCTTCCCTGTGCCCTGTGAGACACGCAGTGTGCGGCCCAGCCTAATAGGAGCAGAAGCTGGAAGACAAAGCAGCAGCTCGAGTGAGTAGCTGGGGACCTTCAATGGCAGAGACCAAAAACAACACTTGCCAAGGAATCACAGACTCTCCCAGGGCCAGACTGGGAGACGGGGCGCTTCCATTCCAGACTTTGAGGCCTGGGGCTATAGCTCCTCCTGGCCTTTGGCCTGGCTTTCCTGCTGTCCTCGGGCCTCGGTCCCACAGCTCTCCGCAGGATTCGCCCCCGTGACTGGAGGGCACCTGTGTGCATCTTTGTTCCTTGAACCCTAGTGCTGGGCACACCAGAGGAGCTGGTGGGTTGGTCCCACTGACCCATCACTCCACGGGGCTCGGAGTTGTGGCAGCACCAAAACTTCACTCCCCCACCCCCATGCCCAGGCTGTGTGGCCTGGGACGCTGGTGGCTGCTGTCGCTGCCAGCTCCCCTGCTCCAGCCCTGGCTCGTGGAGTCTGAAGCTGCTGAGCTGCCTCCATCATCGGGGCGGGGGCGGGCGACTCCTACGAGTAACACAGCTGGCTGAAGCCTGGGGACTGGAGCCTGCCTGTCCCCTGAGGAGAAGCTCAGCGGCCTAGCCTGAGCCCAACTGTGCTTTCAGGGTGGGGTTCAGGTGGGCGTGCCTGTCAGAGGGGCCTTCCTAACACAGCCCCTCCAGGGCCCACTTCCCCTCATACCTCGGTTTCCTCATCTGTGTATAAGAGGGAGGTTAAACTGGGGCAATAGTTTAAAATGTTTTAGCAGCAGAACTATTTTTGAGACATCTCCACCGAAGTCTGATATTTAAAACAAAAATATTCTTTCATTATTAGTAGTATATTATTTCAAATTTGTAAGATGTACAATACGTATTTAAAAGGCAAGGAGTAAGTACTCTGAGGCTGGTAGAATGAACGGGATAGTTGCTAATTCACAGCAACTTCTACTTCCAATTTATTCTTTCACATTATTTTGGTTGCACAATATTGAGAAAATCTGGAAAATCCTGATCACAGAGTTAGTAGCGAAATAGTAGTTTCTTTTTTAAGCTAACTGCGTTGCAGTCTCAGGATACTGAAAGAGGAATAGTAGAGGCTGTTTTCATTGTTTCAAAGTTGAATCAGTCACAATATATAGAATGAGTCACGTAATTGCCAATATCCCACAGTTTTGGCCTATAAAACAGCAAATTCAGTCAAATAATCATAACTAACATTCATTTGCTGTGTGGCAGGCTGCATGCTAAACGTTTTAGAAGTGTGATGTCAGTCAATCCACACAATTCTCTCCTTGTGCAGATAAGGACCCCGAGGCACAGGGAGTTGTCCAAGATCGCCCAGGTGACCAGAGCCAGGCTGGGAGGACCAGTCCAGGCCCAGCCTTGCTCCCCGCTCCCCGGGGGGGCGGGGTCCCCTCTGGCCAGTCCACCTCTGGCCACCTGCCTGGAGAAAAGAATCTAGCCTCTGTGCCCAGCAGCGCCTGCCAGCGCAAAAGCCCAGGAGCTGTTTGTTTTCTTAACGGGGTTAATCAAACCTCCCGAGCCCCGCCGCAGCCCCGCACAAGTGGCGGCGCTCAAAGGGGCTTTGTGTGACGGTAGCAGGAGGGCGAGGGCCCAAGCTGGGCCGGGACCAGAGACCCAGCCCCTCCCACCGGGGGCCTGTCACGGGAAACCCCTCCCCCGCATCCCCACTTCCCCGCCGGCCCTTCCTGCCCTCCGCTGGGACCTTGGTCCCATCTCCAGGCTCTGGGCGGGCCCAGTGCGGAGAGAGGGGCCCAGCTCCCTGACAGGGCTGCTGTGGGAGTCAAGAGATCCGTGTCTCCAGCTTGGTCCCCAGCCAGCAGTCAGCGCCACCAGGCCACTTGGAGGTTCCATGCCAGGCCTATGTATTCGGAAAACGGGTCAGGGCCCTCTGAGGTCTGACAGGCCACGTTGTCCATAGTGATAAGTGCCTAACCAGAGCCACTGCTCCATAATTTGATCTGGAAATGCCCTGGCCAAAAAAATGTGCCCAACCAGGACTTTTAACCAACTTTACCCCAGAAATTTGGGCATCGAATCCATACGTTAGAGAGTGATAGAGAAAAGACCAGGATTTGTCCAGTAAAACAAGTCCTTCTAATATTGGGAGTCACTTTGAAGGGCTCCACACCCATCATACAGAGTCTGGAACTCAGCTCAGTGTTCGTGTACTGCGCTGGCCAATGCTTAACGTGCACAGAAAATAACCTTTGCCTTTGACTAGTAACTAACTGCTTTGGGGTTCCCATGATCTCCTTTCAGGAAACTATTTCCCATAACTTGTACTCTATCCCCAAAGACATCTTAAGTGGATCTGGATTTCCTTCATTAATTTTCATTTGAGGCCATAGAATGCTATGGAATTTTATGAGTTATTCGTATCAAATCTCCCTGTGTAACTAATGATGAAAATCCATTGATTTGCAGCTTCTCAAAATTAAGTTAATATCAAGGTGGAGAACAATCTGAAGAGAGAAAGAGAGTGGGGAGGGGCCTAATTCTGAAGGAGTGAAGAGCATCCCCATTGTTATCCTGATGCTTAGAGCACTGGCAGCCCTCACTCCCTTCCCGCCTCTCTCCCAGGCCTCCCCTCCACCCCACTCCCCCGCCAGCCTTTCCCCAGCACCCCACTCCCGCATTCATCCATGTAGTCTTCTGGCCCAATGGTTTTTGAGCATCTACTACATGTCAGGCAACATGGCGGCAACCACCAGCAAGACAGACCCGGTCCCTGGCCTGACGGCGCTGAGTGGGGGCAGAGTCCCAGAAACCAGGGAGACATCCCATAGAGAGTAACCTCATTTTGGAACAGACAGGGTGACACGGTAAGGTGATTAGGAAGGAAACTCACCTTTGAGGAGGTGAGAGAGGCTAAGAACTGGAAGTTTTAGGCTAACTCCCTCCCATGAAGAGTCAGGGAAAAGCATTCCAGGGAGAGGAATCAGTAAGTACAAAGGCCCTGAGGCAGGAAGAGCTCAGCAGGCCTGAGGATAGGGAAGAAAGCCCTGTGTCTGCAGCCCGGAGCCCAGGTTTTAGGCAGATGCCTTGAGGACAGCTGGCACCGCTAGGTGGAGAACAGACTTTGTTTGGAGGGAGGCACTGAAAAACAGGGTGATCCATTTGGAGAATGGCAGTTTTCTAGGTGGTAGATATGGAGGCAGAGAGGCAAAGTCATCAGGATGGGTGACCAAGAAGTTTAGAGGTCTGGGGTGCATGGAGAGGACTCCTGGACAGCAGGACAAGCAGAGTAGGGTCCCTGATGGCAGGAAATGAAACCCAAGCACTTCTCGTCGTGGTGGGTCGTTTCCCTTCCAGGGAGTTTCAGCTTCCTGATTCTAGGGCCCTTGTGAGGTTGGAACTTGGGGGGGAAATTGTGAGTATTGGAGAGACTTGCTTTTCCCCTTTGGGGTTCATCTCTCGGCCCCTGTGAAGAGCAGAGCTGGGGATGGAGAGTCTCTGCCCAGCTCGGAAGCACCCCTGCACTAGCCAGACACCGGGAGTCAGTGGTTCCCCAACCTCACCCCCTCAGGCAGGTACTCTGCTTCCTCCTTCCCACCGTGAGGCCTCCCACTAGGTGTGAGCTCCTGCAGGCTGGGCCTTCTCTCCCTCCACTTCCCACCCCCTGCCTTTGTAGCAGAAGTCAGTGGAGTGGACTCTGCTGAATGCCTGAGGTGTGGAGGCCCAGAGCTGGGAGGAGCAGAGACCCTTTCTAGTGGGGCGGGGGGAGGCGGGGGAGGCGGGCGTGGGGCAGTGAGAGAATTATGGAGTAAATCCTGTCACATACCCAGGAAGACCCTGACCAGAGGGATGGGCAAGAGCAGCCCAGTGCCACCTTGCAGAGACCCTCATTCCCATCTGTTGCCCTGGGCACCAACACCACTCACCTACGCCTCCAGGGCAAGCCCTCAAGCTGCTGTTTCTCAACACCTACTCTGCCGGGGGCTTAACAGGGATCATCTCACTCAATTTTCAGACACTGTCCCAGGGGAAACACATTATCCTAATTTTACAGATGCGCACAGGTCTACACTGTTTGGGGAAATCCAAGCTGTCTGACCCCCAAAGCAGAGCCTAGGTCCCTAAACTGTCTCTTCCCATCAAACTGGGCCTGAAGCAAGATGAATGGATTTAACAAACACAAAATGGAACACACACACACACCCCACCCCACCCCGACAACAACAAAGAATGAATGAAGCGGTTTGTGGATCCTGGGAGTGGGGGTCATCAAAGCCAGATGGGGTCCAGGCGTGGCCACTCTCACAGGGTCCAGGTTGAAGGTGGAAGGAAAGGCGTTGAGGGCAACCTGGCCGCAGGAAATGAGTGTGAGGAATGTCCCTGGTTGGTCCCCAAGGTGAATGTTGACAAATGTGTGCCTTTCCGCCAAAGTGTCCCCACCCGCGCAGCAGCCCCACCGGGCTCAGGGGGGGCGGTTCAGCGCTCGAGGCCTAATCTGCCCCGGGCAAGACCCGGCTGCGGGAAGGAACGCCCCGGGGCGGGGCCATCTGGGGGCGGGGCCGGCCCACAGGGGTCTCCGCGCTTGGCTGGGAGAACTTTGGTTTCGAGCTCCCCGCGAGGAGGGGAGGGGTGCTTGAGCGCGGATGCTGGAAGTTCACATCCCGTCCGTGGGGCCGGAGGCCCAGGCGCCCAGGCAGAGCCCGGAGAAAGGGCACATGGTGAGCGGGGCCAATGGATGTGAAGGGGCGCGGGGACCCGCCGGACTTCTCCGTGCCAAGCGTAGTGGGGATCCCTCTTCCTGGGCTGGGGCGTCCGAGTGTGACGGGCGCGACCGTCGGAGGACAGTTTGCTGAGGGTTGCGGGGCGCTTGGATTTGCCAGTCCCGAGGCCGGCGGTCCAGGCTGTTGACGGACTGCACGGAGTGGAGGGCGGGTCCGCGCGCTCCTTCTCCCGAGAGCGTAGGGAACGCTGGAGGGTCTCCGGGGAGCGGCGGCGCTCCGAGGCCGCTTTGTGCCTTTAAGCGCGGGGCGGGTGGGGCCTCATGCGCCCCCGTCTGCCCGCGCGCTCCCGGCAGGTGTTCCGAGTGGAGGTGCAGTACCGCGGGCGCAGACACACCGTGCCGAGGCGCTACAGCGAGTTCCACGCGCTGCACAAGCGGGTGAGGCCGCGCTGCCAGGCGACCGACTGACCCCAGCCCGGCTCCTGCCCAGCCCCAGGGGGCGGCAGACTAGCTGCGGCCCCTGTCCCTGTCCCCCCCCCCCACCCCCGCCCCCGTCACCACCCCAGTCCCTGGAGCGCTCAGGTCCTGGGCACTGGCGTCCTCGCTGGCTGCGGGGTGGACACAGAGGGGCAGGTCTCAGCCGGTGCTGCCCAAGACCCTGCGTTGCCGGCGCACCGTCGGGCGTCTGCGGCTGTTGGGGCCTCTCTCGTCCCTGTCCCAACCACACCCGGATCCGTCCTAGGGCAGAGCCTTAAGTTTGGGGGTGGGGAGAGGGGAGGGCCCTTGCTAGGGAAAGCGAGCTTAAGACTCAGTCGCTGCGCTGTGACCGCGCCGCGGTGACCTCCTGGCAGATCAAGAAACTCTACAAAGTGCCCGAATTCCCCTCGAAACGCCTGCCCAACTGGAGGGCCCGAGGATTGGAGCAGCGGCGGCAGGGCTTGGAGGCCTACATCCAGGTGGGCATGGGTCTTCCTCTGTTGCCCCCCAGCCTGCTGCACTAGAGATGTGAGCCAGAGAGGTGTGGCTGCACCGGGCGAGGCAGGAGGCCAGTCGTGGGCATGATTTTCCTACCCTAAGCCTTAATTCTTCTGGATAGTAATTTCAGAATTGATTGAATTCAGCTTCATTCAAAGTTTCATTGAACGGCGGCCACTAGCCTCCTGGGTGCCAAGCAGGTGGTCCCAGTTCGGTGAAAGGAAGCTCTTTTCCCCCTCCAGGGTGAGACCCTGCACTGACCTCATGATGAGGCTGAAGGGCAGGGACCCCTTCCCTCCTCCCCGCACAGCGATGCCAGATGACAGGCCAGGTAGCCAGTGCTCTTGAAGTGCACAGTCGTTTTGGCAGGACCCCTGCGTTTTCATCCTGCCCTGGGCGGCGTGCATCACACAGCTGGGTCTGACACAGGCGTCCCCTGTCCTCCTCTCCAGGGCGTCCTGCACCTGAACCGCGATGTTCCCAAGGAGCTCCTGGAGTTCCTGAGTCTTCGGCACTTCCCCACAGACCCCAAAGCCAGCAGCTGGGGGTGAGCATCTCTAGGGGCCATGGCTTGGCATGGGAGGGTCCCCGCTGTTGGGGGAAAGGGACTTGCTGCAACAAGCAGTTGAAGGTTTTAGAGGTCACGCCCTGTTCCTTTTCACGTCTGTGAGGCCCGAGCCTGATCCTTTTCACCTTGAGACATGACCACCGTCGTCAGCTTTCCTGACCCCCGTGGAGGGGTGTTGTCTGGCCCTGGTTACCTCAGCCACCTCCGGAACTGAGCCTGTTACAAATAGAAGCAGTGGCCCCCTGGGAGGTGAAATTCTGGTGTTCCGCTTCTCCACCCCTTCCTCATGCTCCCCTGGGCACCCTAGGGCAACTCATACTCTTTTTTTTAAGAGCCCTGGGGGAGTTCCTGCCTAGCAACCGCAGGCAAGTTAAAGCCCCTTCCCGGTCCTGCTGCCCCCTGGTGGCCATAGGCCAGGAGGCCGGTCTGCTGCCTCTGGTGTGTCTTTCCCGTTCTACTGGTCCAGGTTTTCCTGTTGGTGCCTCCTGAGACAGCTGCCAAGTCATTTTTCCTTGTGGGTTGTTCATCTCGATTCCTAGTCTCTACCCAATGGGAGACTTTGCCCCACCTCGCCCTGCACTGCTCATGGGCCCTCTTCCTTGTAGCTTGCAGCTGCACCACCGGCCTGTCATCAGCTTCTGCAGGGATCCCTACACCTCCACCTCGTCCCCAGGTGAGGGGCTGCCTCTGATCTGTAACCCACATATAGAGCCCAGGAAGCAGGGTGGGCGGACTGGGGGTGCACCGGCCATCTCTCAGCTTCCAGGAGCCGTGAGCAGCTTCTCCCTGCTGCCAGCTTTGTATTCTCTGGGGAGCAGACACAGTGAAATATGCTTGGCTCCCTGGTCTGCATTCCTCACCAGCCTGGCTTTACCACACTAATGTGAACTGAGTGTGAACTGCGAGTGCCCAGGCCTCATTTCCGGTGACGCGCTGGTACCTGCTGCCTTGGCAGGGGCCCAGGGAGCTGCAGCCTGAGACCAGGGCCGTCCCACACCTCCTTCCCCGCTTTCTCTGCTTTTCCTCCCATCCTAGAGCCTCTGCCCAATGTGGTGGTAAATGGCGTGCTCCAGGGCTTCTACAGCTTCAGCACCTACCCAGCGGATGCCCAGCCAGAGGCTCCCTGCCTCCCTGCACCTAGGTCGCCGATGCTCTGACCAGCCCAGAGGCCTTTGGACCAACTGCCAGGATAGTCACCTGCCTCAGTCTGTGAGCCCCAGGAGAGAGACATGGGCTGGGTTCTCCTGGGCCTCAGGACTGACCTACCCCAGGGTCAGAAGTCAACTGCACTAGTGGCTGGGGTGATAGAACTGCACACTCACAGCCCTGGGGCCAGGGCATGGACAACAGAGGGTAAGGATAAAGGGAGAATTTAGGGGTAGGCCATGAAAAGGTGCAGGTGTCCTTCACTGACACCAGCAGGGGGCAAGCAAAGGTTGAAAGGTTGAGGCACAGCAACTGGCAGTTTAGAAGCAAGGAGCAGACACCGGACAGTTTGTGGGTAGCACCTGTGGCGAGTTCAGGGCGGAGCCCAAGAAGGGGACGAGCACCTGCTGCCACAGGAGCCCCAGGTGGGCTGGAACGCAGACTTGGGCACAGGTGTTGCAGGCCCAAGAACCCAGCATGTACACAGGTTATATATTAAAAAAAACCACCTTTTTTTTTTTAATTGGTCATCACTGATAAGAGTTTGTTACAAAACTGGACCGTGGATCGTGAGGGAAGGGGTCCGCTCTGTCGGATGTCAGCATGGGGCCAGCGCAGCGGAGCCCTGCGGTGGGCTGTCTTCACCCCCACAGAGAGGGCAACAGGGCCAGACACAGTCGCTCAAAAGGAAGAGGCTCCTGGGGCCTACTCCTTGGCAATGGCAAAGGGCTTTTCCACCTCGATCTTGCCACAGTCTGCGATGATCACGTCCTTCAGGGGCTTGTCCCGCCCATCCGTCTTGGTGCTCTCCACCTTCCGTACCACCTCCTGGGAAGGAAAGACACAAGCAAGAAGGCGCGGTGGGTCAGGAGGTCCACCACGCATGGCAGACAGGCCCCAGCGTACAGCTGTGGAGAACTGAGACTTCCATGTGACAGACAGACTACAGACCCCAAGGCACCAATATCCTAACAGAGTCACGGCCAGGTGCCATCCCAGAGCAGGGAGAACCCAGCTGTGACAAGGGGATGCAGCATTTTGATCCTCTGAAGTATGACCCAGGTTGGACAAAGGGCGAGGAAGAGGGAAAGGGTGGCTGGGAAGTGGGCACCCGGTGCCCTGTGCACCTCAGGGTGGTGTGCAGGCTCATCACACTCTTAACAGAGCGGAGGTCCCTGCAGCAGCACAACCGCAACCAGGCCCGGCCGGCCTCTGCCTGGCGCTCGGAAGGATGCAGGACTTCGGGGCAGGGAGAGGCAGGCTACGTATTCTTCAATCCCCCCAGGTCTGCAGATGTGAACACTGGTCAGAATCTGTGGGCTCCCTTTTGGGAAAGGGATAAAATATAGGGACCCCTGGCCCTCAAGGTCTGTCACATCCCTGGTAAGCATTGCCCGGGTTTGGCCCCCATCTCTGAAACTCACCATGCCTTCTAGAACTTTGCCAAACACTACGTGCTTGCCATCCAGCCAGGCTGTCTTGACCGTCGTGATAAAGAACTGGGAACCGTTGGTGTCTTTGCCCGCGTTGGCCATGCTCACCCAGCCGGGCCCATAGTGTTTTAGCTTGAAGTTCTCATCGGGGAAGCGTTCACCGTAGATGCTTTTACCTGGGAATAAACAAGCGTAGGTCAGAGGAGCTGGGTTGGCACAAACCAAGTAGATCTTTGGGAGAGGATACCAGGGTCTCAACCTGCCCTGTGCCAGCCCTGGCTGGTTTAGGGAGTAGCTCACATGATGGATTACTCTGAGAATGTAGTTTATGGCTTTTAAATGATGGCCTGAGAGGCCTGCCACAGAGGGATTTTGGTGGAGAGGTTCTGTGTAGGATGCAGGGGTGGGAGAAGGTGTAAGAACGCTCTAGAAAGGAAGAAGGTTGTGGCTGACCAGCTTTGCTTCCTAAGAGCACAAACTACTGAGGCAGCTGCCATTTGGGTTCTGGAAAGTCAAGAGCCTTTATCAATGAATGAACAGAAAATAAAAGGTGACAATGAATGTGTGTAAGTGTCACCCCTTAAGGGGCCTGGGCCAGGGCAGAGGACAAAGGGAGCCGAGGGCAGACAGAGTTTCACAGATCCTACGATACAGGAGAAACACTGCCTCCTCTCTTTTGTCTCCTGGAGATTAACACCGAGCTAGTGAACTAGAGGCCCTGAGAAACCCAGCAAGAAAGTAATTTTCATTTTGTTTTACTCAACACCCTCCAAAACCTTTTTTTTTCCTTTTCAATACACCTATTTTCACCCTGTGGTTCCACAGAATGGAACCAGGCTGGGAAATTTCCTAGACTGATGCTAATCAGGGAGATACTTCTGACTGTGTAGCTAGTGGGAAAAGACTGAAAACCAAGAATTTCTAGGCGCTGGCTGGCAGGGGAGGGAGTGTCCCAACCTGTGCCCTACTTCTCAGTCCCACACCAGGAAGACACTGGCCTCCGCCACCGAGCACTGGCTCCTGGCTGGGCTGCCAGCTAAAAGCCTCTCCTTGCGAGGATCCTCTTTGTAAATCTCAGCCAGCTGCAGGATTTCAATTGCGACTGATATCCAGATAATCCCCACATCCACATCCTTTGCTCCAATCACTGTCCCAAGATACAGGGAGTTCCAAACTTAAAGGGACAGTTTTTCATGTTAAACTCAACATATTTCATACTGTCGCCTAATGGACATCAGTTATTCCTTTGCCAGCTCTTCCTCTGCACACCGTGGGCCCCACCCCCATCACACGTGCATTCTTTCTGACCATTCCTGCGGCTCCCACGGCAGCAATGGCTACTGCTTAGAGCGGTAACAGCACCTGCCATTTTACACATTAAAAAAACCACACCTGATGAGGCAGGATCTAATAAACCTATTTCAAAGATGAAGAAACTGAGGCACAGAGAGGTTAAAAGTACCCCAGCTAGGAAGTAGCCAAGCTGCAACTCAAACCAAGGGGGCCTGGCTCTCAAATCTCTGCTCTCACCCACGAGGCCGTCCTATCTTGGGGCGCAAGCCCATACCATCCCACCCAGGGACAACTCCCCGGCCCCTCGCCAGTCTGCTTGCTCCTGCCTCCACATCCTCAATCTCGCCGCTATATTATTTTCCTTTAAACTCCTTTGTGACTGGGCCTGCCCCGCAATTCAAGTTTTCGGTGGATCCTCACATTCCCCAGACCCCACTTTGGCCAAGTTCCTGCCGCAGAACACAGCTGGGCTCACAACATAGTCATGCCTCTTCTTTGCCCATTCCTAGTCTCTCCAGCGGGCACCCTGCTCAAATCTTGCCTCACACTGGCAAGGCCATTTCCTGAGCACTGTGGCCCCGTGCCATTCCTCTGCTAGTCAGCACTTCGGCAATGGCGGACCTTACTGAGCACCTACTGGGGACTTTCAGTCAAGATCTCACCCAACCCTCACAGCACCCGTAACTCTTATCACTCTTTACACAAGAGGAAACTGAAGCCCAGAGGACTCACTTATAAGGTCACAAAGCAAGAAGGTGGCAGACATCGGGCCCCACCCTGCTGTGTCTGCCTCCACAAATATGGAGCTTTGGATTACGTATGCCTTGCCTTCCTCCTCCACTGCTGCCGCCAGTACTTCCATCTTGTATCGCTATGGAGTTGCTTAGTGTTTCCTTAGTTCTTCCCCCCTGGCTGATCACTGGAGGACAGAGGCTGAGTCCTAGAGGCTGTATTACAGCCAAGGTGTGAGCTTTCAGGTACCAGAAGTGAAAGGGAGCTGCTGCCCCACTGAGTGTTGTGTCCTCGGCAGCCAACAGAGCCCGGCCAATAAATACTCATTGACGGGGTGAGCTGCAGGTCTGGTCTGAGGGAACAGCAGGCCATGCACCCAAGTATGGTGAGACCTATGGGTTAGTCCAGGGTATCAGTCTGTCTGGCTGTCTTATGCAAGTAATGTAGAGGGGACACTCGGTCAGCCCTGCCCAAGTGGCCTCCCGTGGGAGACTACCAAGAAAAGCAGCTTCTCCCACCCCCACTGTGGCTTCCACGGCCGCCCACACAGGCTTTGCATGCCTGACCCAGAATCACCTACCCATATGTTTCACTCTGCTCCCTTCTGCCATGAGATGCTGCAAGAAGCCACCGCAACTGCAGGCCCGGACCAGCAAGTCTGCCAGCTGGGTGAGATCCTCTTACGTCCCCCTGAACCACCCCGTTACTCCCTCTTCTTTGCATGGGGTGCCCTGTGCCAAGAAGGGTGCAGCTGGTCTCAATGCAGATGACAGGCCTGCCTCTGGAGCCAGGGAGGCGGCCCTGTCTACCTGGCACAGCCCAGCCCGCCCACCTGCACTGACAGCCCTCTGCCCGGAGGACCCGAGTTACCTCCTGTGCCATCTCCCCGAGTGAAGTCTCCACCCTGGATCATGAAGTCCTTGATCACACGATGGAATTTGCTGTTTTTGTAGCCAAATCCTTTCTAGAAAAAGGGATGAGAAGGTGAGGAGGTGGCACAAGGCACCAGGCGGACACTAAAAGGCCCCGCAGGAACCCAGCCCACAGCGCCTGCTCACAGGAGACATCATGGCTGGCCAGTCCTCGTTCAACGTGCCAGTGAGCAGTGACTACAGGCCAGGCTTGGGGCACGAAGATCCAGAAAAGGCTAAACTGCACATTCTCCTGCCTTGACACACTTCCAGGACCTTCTGTAATTCTACTTCACATAATGCCCCTGCCTTTTCCCTCTCATTGTTTCCTAATCATAAGAACAGATGCCCCCCCCGCCGCAAAAGTTATCTGCTGACCCAATGAAAAGTTGGAATATAAACTTTCTTAAACAGGGCAGTCGTTTTCTTAAAACCTGGAAAACTCTGGGCTCCTTACTCTTAAGAGAAAGCTCTGGTGCAGACCACAGGCCGCGGTGTCCGCGGGTGTGCTTTCCTTGCTTATCGCAGCGTCTTAAAGATAAATTTTCTCAACAAGAAAAATCCAGAGCTCTGGACTTGGTGTAAAACACTCAAGATATGCCAACACTGCCCGGATGGGAGCTCTGGCCGCACAGGCGGCAGGGGAGGAGTGGCTGGCAGTAGAGGAGGCTGTCGTCTTCAGGGGCTGTAGGTGGAGGCACGGCTGGGGCCAGCAGTGAGAATGGCAGCAAGGTATCCTGAGGGCATTTTGGGTGCCACAAAAGCAGCTTCGAGAGCTTTGCCCAGGAGTGAACCACCAGCCCCATCTCTGCGAGCATGGTCCCTACTGCAGGGAAACCGGCTGCTGCACCTACTACCCTGAGCTCTGGTGGTTCTGGCTGCTCTGGACCGTCCTCATCCTCTTCAGCTGCTGTTGCACTTTACATCATCGATGAGCTAAACTCCAGCTGCAGCAACAGCAATGGCAGCATGCGATCAACGTGTAGGCCCACCACAGGGCACACCATGGGGCTGGCCCTGTTCCTCCTGGTTCACTGCTTGACTGGAGCCGTCTCAGTGCCTTCAAACCCCCAGCCTATGAGGGTGTGGTTCACCACCCGCTCCTTACACGGTGGTCCAGGCTTCCCCTTGACTGTTTCCAGGGAATGTACCCCCTGCTCCTCCACCTCTAGCTGCCCTGCCCACTGTGAGAGAACAAATGTGGAAGGTGTTTGCTCCCACCAGAGTGCCCCCCTCATCCGGAGGGTTAGCCCAGGGCAGGGGTGAGCCCTGCCCCCACAACCCCTGACTGGTGACTCGGTCATGGAGCTCTGACCTTGTCATGACTTCTGTGAGGGCGAGCCGGTCTAGGAGGCTAGGGCTAGTGCCGCCCAGCCAGATCTGGGGGACTGCTCCCCTTGGACACTGCTGCTAGATCCCACATCCCAAGTTTCTTCTGTGGGGCTGGCTTCCAGTGAAGGGGATAGCTCATACGCAGTTTTGGGAGGGTGGGTGAGTTACTTGCCCAATGGCAACAGCCCTGGTCCCAACTCCTTGGGTTTTCTTTGGCCTCTCCCTGCCCTCCTAGAATCTGCCTGCAAGGGCTGGAGTCCCGGGTAGAGCAGTCATGTTTGGGGGACTATGCTATCTCTACCCCCAATGACATACACAGGAACCTCTGATCTCATTAAAGAGATGTGACCATAGCCCTGGCTGGTGTGACCCAGTGGAATGAGTGCTGACCTGCGAACCAGAGGGTCACAGGTCCGATTCCCAGTCTGGGCACATGTGTGGGTTGCAGGCCAGGTGCCCAGTAGGGGGCGCATGAGAGGCAACCACACATTGATGTTTTTCTCCTTTTTTCTCCCTCCCTTTCCCTCTTTCTAGAAATAAAATCTTTAAAAAGAAAAAGGGATGTGAACACCACCATCAACAACAAAAAAGATAAGAGTACTGGGTTTCCCTTGCCAACAGGACAACAGCTAGTTGGTACTGAGGGCTACTGCTGTAGACATGCCACGCTGTGCTGTTTGCTGCCAGCTCTACATGCCAACTTCACTTGGTTTGAATTTGACTACCTCCACTCTAGCCACTTACCTCTCCTGTGGCTAAGGCCACAAAATTATCCACTGTTTTTGGAACAGTCTTTCCAAAGAGACCTATGACCACCCGGCCTATATCTTCATCTCCGATTCGCAGGTCGAAGTACACCTGAGGATAAAGAACATTTTAAACTTAGCCTCTTTAAAGGGGCCTTGGTAGGGAGAGGAGGGCCCAAGAAGCTACCCTGAGGATGACAGAGAAAACAGAGCCTTGTTTTAAGAGTCGTGTTTCTGAATCTGATTTTGGTGGGGACAAAAATCCTATGAGAATCTAATGAAAATTCCAGACCCATTTCCCAGAAAGCATGTTTACACTCTCCTTAGACTGCAGGGTAAGAACCTTTGCTCTAGATAAATAATGGGCCCAGGTTCTAGAAATTAACATAAAAATAACACAATGTAGGTTTAAACTATATTGCTGAGCTTTGTAATAAGCAGTGGATATAATTTGACCTAAGGAGAGAAAGAATTCACAATCTGGCAGACGTGATATTTCACCGTTTCGCCAGCACTGCAGGGTATTTGCAAATAGACTTCTCTGAGGCTGACGGTACCAGCCCCAGCAGGGCAACCCAGGAGCTGACCCCTGGGTCCGGGAAGGGGTTTCGGAGTGGTCAGGGTCACTCTGTGGTCTGAATGGGGGAAGACCGTCCTGGCGTCACGAGCTCACAGCCGGGAAACCAGGGAGGGGCTGAGGCAAATCTGAGGACGCCCAGGCCAACCCCAGGCAGCGGACGGAGGGCCTTGCTGGGTAGGTCTGGGAAAGGGAGGCCGGACCTTGACGGTGACTTTGGGCCCCTTCTTCTTCTCATCGGCCGTAGAGGATCCTGGCAACAGCAGGAAGAAAACGGAGCCCACGATCAGGGCAGCAGCGAAGAGAATCTTCATGTTCCGCTCAGAGAGGCGAAGCATCCACCAGGAGAAGCAAGCGGGACCCGGGCAGCCGAGGGCCGGAAGAAGGTGGGGCACGGCGGCGTGGGCACAGGCGCCGCCACCGAGAGCGGCTGTGGGGGAAACTGGGGCTCCTGCAGGCCTTCTGGAAGGAGGCTGGCCTCATTTCCCCCCTCTGGAGCGGCGCCGGATAGTAAGTCCCCGTGGGGGGCGGAGCCCGACTCGCCGGTGGGACGAGCGAAGACGCGGGCTCGTGGGTGGCTGCCACGTTACTGCGGCCTCATTGGCTCCTCTGCTCCCGAAATGCCCACCCCCATAAAAAAGATCGCTGAGGGCAGGCCCCATCAAAGAGCGCAGAGACTGGGTTTCTGAAACTACAAAACCCAGCATGCAGAGCGGCGCAGCGCGTGGCTCTCTCTGCCTTTGCGGAAGTGGAAGACTTTTGAAAGGTGGTGGCAATCTTTATTTTAAAAGTGCGTGGGTAGGGCAGGAGATGTTCACAATTGTCCTTATTGGGCCAGTCAACCACAGCTACTTGTACTTGAAAAATTTGCTTCAAAACCCATTTTTACTTAGTCCCTGTCATTTTACCACTTTTCCTTCTCTAATCTTACTGTGCTTACCGCAGTATGAGTGAATGCACGTTCTATTGTATCCTCGGGCTTTCAACTTCTTTACCTATTTTCCCATGTAAATACGTTTTGTGTGTGTGTGTGTGTGTGTGTGCGCGCGCGCGCGCGAGCAACCACTGTGTTTTGTATATAGCTCCCCAACACTGCTGCAGGGCTAAGTGCTCAACAAATAATGGTTGTGATAGCGTGATAGCGTCACATTAGCACCAAGGGAGATAACATATGCAACGGCCTGAGCTTTAGCCTCCCTTTTCTAGAAACCTTCAGAAAGGTCAGGGGTAGTTGTTAGGTCCCCTCACAGAACTATCTCAGGTCTTCACGCAAACTTGGTGTTCCAGTCTGCAACATACAGACTTCAGTACTGGAAGACTTATATGCACCGCAAAGTACATCCTCTTTCCAAAACGTGGACCTATGACATTATTAAACATCTTAAAAATTAATTTTCAAAGATTAACGTTATAGAAATTCCTGGTCTTCAAAGCTCATATTGCAGGTAAGCATGGCTCTGTCTCTACAGCTAAACTGCAGTTTGGGCTCTGTATGAGGTGCTGACCTAAGTTTGGGGTTATGCACGGCCACTGGCATTAACTTGTCCTTCCTTACACTGAAGTCACTGCACGCTCGCTGCAGAGCATCAACAGACAGTTCCCACATAACAAAAATGACATTTGCAATTTCTAATCTTCACACCTTAATCCAGACCATCTCAATTGGGTGGAGGTTCTAGAAAAAATCTTTGCACTGACAAATAGGATCTTCCAAACAGCTCCCCACCCCTTAATTCTTTGGGTCTGTCAAGCCTTTTCCCCCAATCACAAGTCTTCTGCGTGGTCTAGGCCTTCTACCTAGGCCTGGGAAAATGTTTACCAAACTGTTTCCAAAGTAGTCATCTCAACATGAGGAGCAAATTCTAAAATGGCATAAAATTGACCTTCTCCCCCGTCCCTATGCTACCAGTTTTGAAAGAATGAGAAACAAGCTTGATGGATAAAATGCTCTCAATGAGGTTTTTCTCTCATAAAAATCTTCGAAGCTTTTTCTGCTCTTGCCTACCAGTGCGGGGTATGGGGGTGGGGGGAGAATCATTAAGTAGCAATTGAATAGTGAATAGAAAAAAACCACCAGCCAATCATGTCCAGATTGGCAGTTGTTTTTGTGATCAATTTATGCCCTTTTGAGTTTATATTGCACATCACACTTACATACCTTCTATCTGTATAGATGTTTCTCATTAGAACAGAATTATTAAAGCTACTATTTCAAAGTTGTTATGCAGAGAAGATCCTAACTTCCTGGTGTTCTACCACCTAAGAACCACAGGGATACTGGAACCAGTATGTCAGTGATGAATGTCCAAATTCTGCCAGGAATAAATTATTTACTTAATTTATTCATAGAGAGAGGGGAAAGGAGGGAAGAGAGGGAGAGAACTATCGATGAGCAAGGGAACCATTGATTGGTTGCCTCTCGCATGTCCCCAAGTGGGGACCTGGCCTGCAACCCAGGGAATTTAACCAGCAACCTTTCAGCCCACAGGCTGGTGCTCAACTACTGAGCCACACCAGCCAGGGTAGGAATATTTATTTTTAACATGACCCACAAGAGGAGGCAGTATCCAGCCCAAAGGAATGAAGAATGCCCAAGTATCAGACATTATTTTCATTCACTGGAGGCTTGAATCGTATCAAAGTTAGTCCTAGCTAGATTCTTAGTTACAAATGAACCAGGGGAGATAAAAACCACACAAAACCCAAAGAAGCAAAATTAGCCAAGAAAGGTAAGACATTTTATTTTACATACAAAAAGGGTGCAAACTGAGTCCTTTCCTCCCCAAACTGGGGAAGAGGTATACTTAAAGATCACATTTGTGTTTTCCATGGTGCCCTAGGAAATGGGCTACTCTGAGATAGCAATATCAAGATCCATTTTCCATTTTCTCCAAAGAAGGCTACTTCCTCTGCAGAGGAGTTTTTCCTAATGATGTTACAAATCTCTCTCCTGGAGGAATCATTTCAAATACACTTGAAATTGACATTCATGTTTAAAAATACTACATGTTTCACAGCTGAGCTTTGTGACCAGTGCCAGAGATTATGAAACAATATTACACATCTAAAAGGTAAAAAAAAAAAAAAAAAAAGGCATTTAACAATGATCATACACATCCACACATCAATTAAAACTGATTTCCACAGCTGATTTATACATTATCTAGTCTTAAAAAATTGCAATCAACATCCCAACATCTTTTGAAAAGTACAATGGGCAAAGATTAAACAAAATAATAATATAATAAATTAGAGCATGTACTATATCCAATGGGAATTGATGAATCAACATTATTTTCCATTGGGGGCTTTTATAATATTTTTGGTTTCATTTCTTTTTCTGCCATTTACTCTTCCGCTTGATAAATGGGGCTCATTCCCAGAGCCAGCTTGCTGTGACACTAATTTGAGAAGCTCACTTGTTATTTGTTTACATCCTAGAATATTCGGGAACACATGGTCCCAGCAACCTGGGCTGAGTTTTTATGGAAGTGAAGTGCACACAAATGAGCACACACACACAAGTATACAAATGCAACCACACACAACCACCTGTAAATATATTTCCCCCCAAAGAAATGGCTCATCTTTCCTGAGACATTCCTAACAGACTGATAAGCCTCTTAAAAAAAGCTTTCGGTGCAAGGGCTGGCCTGGGATTTGGTCTGGAGCTCATGAAGAGGAACACTGAAAATGTCTCACCTGCCCTGAAAGAGGGAATTTCTGGGGGCTGGGCCAGTCAGGACAGCTGTCCTCTGGTGTTACTGGGATGACTGCACTGTGCCCCCCTTTATTACCATGGATTACCCTCTGCGCTGAGACTTTGAAGGTGGTGATGGCACCGGAAAGATGACTGTGAGGAGTAAAGAAAGAAACTAATAAAATAAATTGTCCACTGAACTGAGGTTTCTTAAGAACACCAAGTTTGGAAATCAAACTAGAAATATATCGAGTACATGTTCACTTTTCTTTGTAAGCTGATCTACAAATACTGGAGTGGACTTCCTGGTTGCTTTTTGAAGAAATATGTTAACTACTACTGTCTATATCCAGGGAACCTACTTACTATTTTGAATACAATGAAGAAACCTATTCTTTTGCATTCAGTCACCTGCAAAAGCAGTTGGGGAAAACATGTTCTTAAGACTCCCTGACTGATCAGACTTCCAAAATTTATTTGTGGCTATAAAACTGCTCAAAATTCTGCAAGCCCTCAGAAGGGCTAAGGTTTCCTCTTTTCTTATTCAGATACAAATCAATACCCTCCCCTTACGCCCCCCCCCGCCCCCCGAAAAAACCCCCACAACAAAACCAAACCTTAGGAATCCCATTTTGATTCCTACCAATCCATTATGGGGAAGACTGAGAGTCACTGTCCATGAACCTCTAGAAGGAACTTGCCTGGAGCCCTGGAATCAGCAAAAACAAGAATCCCAGAGACAGGTGCCTGTTACTTCCACGGTCAGTCCAGATGGTGTGCCTAGTTACCCTGGCTCCCTAAGGGTTTCTGGAATTCACCTGCCCACCTCGGGGCAATGTGGGGATGGTGGCAGTGAACTGGCAAAGGCAATGTTGGCTATTATGGCGCTGCAAGCTCCCAGTCTGAGAAACTCTAGCCCTAACATGGTGGCTTCGACACTGGAGATAACATCAGGGCAACTCACTGGGAATGGAAAATGGGTTTAAATATGAATACGGAAGAGGTAACTGGGACACAGGAGGCATGTGGGCTGAGGAGAGATGCATCAGAAGAATGATTAAGTTCTTTTGACAAGATAGCTGTCTAGGCTACCATGGAAGTACTCATTTAAAAAAAAATGCAGGCCATGCCATGCTTGCTCACTGGTAAGGGGTAGAGTTAGTATCTTTTGCATAAAAAGTTAAGGCTATGATCTTTAGTAACCACTATGATATAACATACCATTGCTGCATATTTTTAACATTAAAAGTGATTACTAACACAGAATCAACACTGAATATGTACTACCAGTGTACATCTCCAGTGAACTAAGTTGGAAGTTACTTTCGAGGCAATGGGCACCCCTTCTGGCTATTGGCAGGGGCTGTTTATGTAATTGGATTTCACTGAGAATTAACAGGCATTCAGCACTTCTACAGCCAACCCTAGGATCCTTCTGTTGATACTGCATTCCAAGGTAAATGGAGCTTTAACTGGAGGCCAACCTAGTCACCTAACTTGTACCTTTCTAGACCCTGTTTACTCCTAGACAGACCCAAAGTAGTGGGAGAGTGTTAATTAAGGCAGTCACGAAAGCACACTGGCTGCTGGCACACGCTGCCCACCCTTGCAGAGCAGTCTGGAGTGAGGTCACTGGGAACCGCCACGGTGTGCATAGCAAGTAACCAGTCCTTACATGCTCAGACTTCACAGGACAGAAGTCATGCTCTTGTCACAAGAGAAGGACCCTTTTTGCCTTGGTGGATTCCTGGCCTGCCTGCCTCAGCCTGCTCAGGCTGCAATGCCTGAAGGACTGTAGGGGCTTGGGAGAACTCCCAGTGGAATAATACTACGTTTTTTTTTTTTTTTTTTTTTAAATGAATAGAAGCTATTAGTGCTTAATGCTAACTCAGAAATAACTGCATCAACCCCAAAGAAAAAGCTCTCTGTGCATCATGGTTGTATGAAGAAAGCTCAATCACTACCAGGCAAGGGGATCTGGGTGCACGGTGGGTGGGGGGGGAACCCCCCTGGCACCCCAAGGACCTGGCTAGAGTGCCCAACCCCAAGGACCTGGCTGAGGGCCTACAGCTAAGCAACTATAGCAACAGAGCAGAGGAGGGAACCCTGACGTGCTGGTGGGGATGAAAATGATGCCCAAATTACTCCTTAGGTACTCATTCTAATTTTAAAGAAAATCACAATAGAATTTCTCAGGGGTCTGGGACCACCTTGGAGTGCCAACGGCCCCAGAACGGTCACCATTACCCTGCATGCCAGAGGGCCTGGGGGTCTTTACCTCTGTTATGAAATCAAATACCTAGTAAGAGATTTGTAGGGGGCAGGGAGTTAAAACAATGCATTAGAAAGGGCCCCCAAAATGGCTCAGGTTCAACCCCTCAAGAGCTGGCCTTTAAAAACATTTAAGATCAAAAAAGTCACAAACCCAGCTGCAAGGGGGTGCGCCCTGCAGCCAAGCTGGCGGCTGCCGTTGCTCTCCTATGGAAGCGGGGTGCGGGGAGGCACTTAGTGCGGTGCGGGGTGCCAAGAGGCTCCAGGCTCGGCCACCATTTCTCCTTGTCCTCCCTCGAGAGGCAAGGCTTTTTCTATACAGGTATGAAAAAGATTCTATACAGGGAGTTAAAGTTGTCCAAAAACCACTGAAGAAACCAAGTTTCAGTGATTACACCTTAAAGATTAGATAATGTCAAGGAAACAAACCCCAATATTCAAAATCCTTGTGGAGAAGGGGTATGACACCCTCTGCTCAGTTCTGTGTACAGGAAAATTTCTTTTAAAGAAATGTAAGATTATCATCCTTATATAAGCTAAGCAGGTTTGAAGCCAGTATTTCCTGGCCAAGGCCTGATGGAACAGGGGAAGCCCGATAACTCTAGTTTTCTGCTACTGCTATTTCTGCTCCATACACCAGAAAGCATCCCCACACCCTGCAGACCAAAGACAGCCCTACATCTCAAGTCGGGGCAGTAATTTCTGTGTCCTCAAACCCCCCAGACTAAGTCACCAGTCATTGTCCTCTGTGCTTAGCTGCTTCTACTTACAGATGCAAGACCTCATTCCCTGGTGTAAATAATCCTTTCTCCTCTACCACATCTGGAATGTGAGGTCATGGAATAAGCGACTGAACTTAAATGAAAATTGAGCATGTGAAGATTAACGCAATACACTAATAATTTTTAAGACAGTGAATGAGGAACCAAGCCCCTTCATGGTAGTATGCCATGTGACCACACCGTGAGGGGGAGGCAGAGTGTAGTGGGGAGAACATGCTCTAGCTGCATGGCCATCTTATTTGTTAAGAATCTATGTCCAACTGAGAAGATAATTTCAGAGCTTCCATTTCAGTCTTCTTTCCCCTGGAATTTTCCAGCACCAACTAATCTTATCCCCCTGTTCCCTACAGCCCCATGTACTGAGTCCTAAGCCAGCTACTGTGGACCTGCTCGGAGAAAATCTGCAGGTGCTTGGTTACAGCCCAAGTACTGTAACTCAGCTCCATACCAATTTTATTTCCTGGCCCTATGATGCCAAATCCTGAGTTTCCTTTGGCAGGTGGAAGGCAGGTTCACTTTCCTCCTCTTTTTGTCCACTAGTGGCAATATGGTGGTGGCTGCTTCATCACTAATTTTGTCCCCCAAGTTGCTAAGGTCACATGGCTATCCAGTTGGAAGTCCCTGGCAGTGGAGGAAACGGATATTTCAGATTTTTTTTTTTTTTTTTTAAGTTTTCTCCTTCTCTGGGATGAACTGTTTCCTCGTCACAGTCCGGCTTGGATGGCTCATCCCATGTGCTGGAGGGCTGGGTTGTCCAAACTGCAGGCTGATGAGGTCAAGAGGCTCCGGTAGGGACAGTGTTCAGTAGCTGAGAAGATGAATGAAAATTCAAGTATGCTTCTTTGCCAACCTGAGTGTTTACTCAGAATGACATAGGGTTTGGCTTCTTCTCTTCTGGGTGCTGCCAACCCAACTCTTTCCACTGAGAATGTCCTCTGGACCCATGTTCTCTCTGAATGGCTTGGCTGGCCCCATCCCCCTCAAAACAGAAAAAAATAAAACTCCCAATATAACCAGACACAATATGCATCTGCTATGTTTTCTGTTAAAAAAAAAAACAAACAAAAATAAAAAACAAAAAGTGCAATAAAGTCAGTTTTTTTTTTCCTTTGCTCTCAGAACAATGTGCATTGTTCTACTACTGACTGGAGAATAGAGTTCGCTTGTCAAGAAAGCTAAGAACGCCAACACATGGGGACAGTAGACTGCAGATTTCTCACAGCTTGTCTCCTACAGTGTAACTTCACAGGCGGGAGGGAGGGAGTAACCTGCACCTCTTGGCTGGCTGGGGATGGAGGCTGCGCAGGCACAGAGGAAGAGGGAGACATACTGCCAGATATACCTGGTAGGTGGAGAAGCTTCTTCTCCAGCTCAAGCCTGCCATCTTCCTCCTACCTTCTTGGCTGCACCCCCAGTCTCTTGAGCTTCTTCAGCAGACAAAGCCTTGAAACTCACTAGCTTTAGTGCTGGAGCAGGTTGAGGGTGGGGCAAGAACCAGGAGTAAACTTAAAGGGAGGAAAGAGAATAGTAGTCCTTGAGTTTTTGTGAATGACACCTTCACTGTAAACAATAGGAAGGAGAGTCAACCAGGTGGCCCCAAGGGCAAGCAGTGGAGGAGCAGCAGCTCTGGGACCTGCTCAGAGCCTTAGGCAGGTGGGGACAGCCACTGACCCACTGGGTCCTGGCTGCCCACACTGGCTCCTTCAGGGGGCTTCTGTTTTCTTAGTTTTGGTTTGGATCTCCACCCTCCCCGACAGGGGAGTCCTTTCCAAGGAGAAATGGCAGGAGCTGCAGGTGCAATTGAGTCAGAGTCCCCAGGGCCTGAGGACTCCTGGGAGGCACTGGTCACTTGTGGCGCTGAGCAGTCTTCTTCCTTTTCCTCTTAAAGAAACAGCAGCACCTGAAGCACAAGGAACATTGCAAGTCAGTGTAAGAGGCCTGCAGCTTCCAACAGACTTCTGCCTGCTTCTGCTTACTGCAGGGGGTGGAATTTTCTCCCTGATACCCACCCGCAGGCCGCCCACCATCTACAGTGCTCATCCTGGAGGCGGTAGGCAGTGTCTGCCAGGGAAACCAAGGGGAATAGCTGCTTCATTTCAATCTGCAGCTACCAAACCTAAATATCAAAATGCTGCAGGCTAGGCAGGGAGGAAATAAGCATTTTTGAAAGGAGAATGAAGAAGGATGAATTCCTAGTCTAACACCCTGCCCAGATGCCTCATCTTTCTGTAGAACCAAAGCTGCAAGTCCTCAGGGCTGCATAAGAATAGGTTGCACTGTCTGCCCCTTAATTTAGAGGGAAAATTATTTACTGCAACTGCAGCGGTCAGCAGCCATGGAGGCTAAACTGAGGCAAAAAAACCCCCCATGTTCGGTACTCGAGGAGGGTCTCAAGATGCTACCAGTGAAGGAATAAGGATCCTCTCTATGTCCGTCTCTGCCCCACAGAGCTACTTGGAGTAGGCAGAAGCAGCACTGATAGTAACTGTGGGCCCGGGTCCCCTGATTGAGGTCAGCGCAGGCCACTCTTCATTCAGGTCAATGCCACAGCCTGGAGCTGATCATGAGGAAGCATCTGGTGGAAGGTCTTCGACTTAGCTTCTGACACTGCTGCTGCTGTGCCAGACTGGGTTATAGGATCAACCCTGTTTAGGATGGTGGTTGAGGCCTGCTCCCCTCGTGAGCCCGCCAAGTGCGGCTGCTGGGCAACAGCCATACCTCTGGCACATCCCTCAGCCTGAGTATCCCCCTCCTTATTCCTGCCTGTGGAATAGGAAGCACCCCTTGCTCCGGCAATGACTAGTCCCGAAGGGGGTGATGAGGGCGGTAACATGGCTGGCGCAAAAGATATGTCCTTTCCAGGATGCTGACACATGGGAAATGAGAATGCGAGGGGCAGAAGGTGGTGACTGAGTCAAAGATGTGTTATGATGGAGGGGAGTAAAGTTAGAAGTATAACTCAGAATTGCTGGACCCTTGAAAGAAAAGCTTTTCTGAGAAAACTATCTTTGAGTTGCTTGCCCAATCCTTCCAGGTTTAATGCCAGGAATAGTCATATGGAAATAAAGCACTGCTTACTTCCTATACCCTTAAGTTCTCCACTGCAGCTAAGATTCCCTCTTATTTTCAGTCAGACCCCTACATATTTCCTACACCCACTGGAGTAGTTATTAAAAATTTGAAGAACATTTCTCGGAATGCAAAAAAAGACATTCACACAGACATAATGGGCTTTAACAATATCTGAATGAATCAAACATGGCTTTTGGAAATAGTTTCTTAAGGGGGTCTTAAGCTTTTCTAAGAGTATTAATGACGTTTGTGAAATACTACTAATGGGTATGAATACAGTTATTAATCGAAGTGTCATGTTTATTGGAGATTGAATACATTCTTTTAAGTAAAATGATCTTTTCCTGTACACATATGCTTTAGAAAGCAGAGATTTTTTCAAGTTGAATGTCCTGGAATTAATATTAAATAAGGTAAGTTAAATCCCACAGGAGCACCAATTTTTCAATATAGTTACCTGTTCCCTACTAACCATGACTTTCAGAGGAATCACTAACATTTAAGCCAATTTCTATTCTTTACAGAGAATGCTAAGATGATGATTTGGTGTTTTTAAGTAACAGCAACCATAAAAAAGTTTGAATTGCTTTTAGTTTTCAGTCCATTTCAAATGACATGACTTCTCTTTTACCCCCTCTGAGGCAAGTCGTAAGCATGAATGTCTGCTTATATGCATATCATAACCTGATGTGCAATGCTGAGGTCGCCTGACTGGACGAGAGCGTGAGCTGTGGTTTAGAGCCCTAAATATTTGCTGGTTGCTATAGTTAAAGCTTCAGCAGGAGCAGAAGCTTTTAATAGTTCTCTCCACAAGAAATAGATCCCACAATCTGCCCTTCAGCTCTTTGGTTTCTGTGGTGACTACCAGCAATAGGACCCATTAAACTTGGTCAAATCCAGACCAGACCTAGACTGACTCCATACAGATATCTTACTCTCAGAAGAGAATGAAGGCACGTGAAGAACCCTTTTGGGGTTGTTGGTATCCTTCCTGTTGATTCTTTGATTGGATGACCAGAAGTTCTTAACAGGCTGCAGTGAAACTTGACCTATTCTCCCTATTCACAAGACACTAAGGGCCCTTCCCCCAAGTCTCTGAGCCACTTATTTACCTCTTCTATGAGCCTGCCAAGTGCTGTCTCCTGGGCACAGCCACAGCTCTTGCACAGCCCCTTACTCCTGCCTTTGGAACAGGAAGCACCTCTTGCTCAGGCGGTGACTAGTCCAGAGGGGGTGATGAGGGCTGTGGCATGGCTGGTGCAAAAGATACGTCCTCTTACTACGTCCTGGCTTTCTCCCTTCTGCTATTCCTTTGCTATGCTTCTCGTCTTTGCTGTACTTGAACATTCTTCCCTTGCTCTAATATCTGGCTCAAGCCCCATAGTATTCATGAAGCCTCCTTGACCATCCTGTCCCCAGTGACCTCTCTAGGAGTAATGACATAAGCACCCTGGAGAACCACCTGTCCTTTCAAGTATGTATGTCTTATCTCTCCAGTGAGGTGCGCCGCAGCTCTTCAGGGAAGGCCTTGGGACCTCCTAGAGTTCCATGCACTGAGTTGGATGAGCACACCGTAGACCCTGTATTTGCAGGGAGAATCATATGACTGACATCTTACAGGAAAAAACAGACCATAACACTGTCAGATTACACAGACTCATGTTTGCTAAGTAAATTGGCCCAATGTATTTCTTGATAATGTAAGACTACAAAATCTGTCTCCATAAAAACCAATTGCTACCTTCTATACATCCCTGTCCCTGGGAAACCCCACAGGCACCTTGGCTGAGGGTTTGGAAACCAGTGCCCAACCCAGTCATTGAAGACAAATAGAGACAAGGTAGTTCCAGTGTTCAGCAGGCTCTTATCATCACACAAATATGACCCATGCATGCAGACAGTGGCGGGGTGGCGGGGGGATTACAATTTCAGACTGCAGTAGACCAGCCTACTTAAGGAGCAAGTGGAAGGTCACAGGCAGTGTCCAGGAAGACAGCTGGGGAGGGGGCTCTGTCTTGCAGCAAGAATGAGCCTCATCAAACATGGATTCTTTAGGGTTTCCCCTTTTATTGTTCCTCTCATTTCCCCTTTTATTGTTCCTAAGAATGCATTCAAGGAATGTGGAAAAGAGAGGCTCCAATATTTCACTGGCCAAATCAGCCCTTAGTCCACTATACTCTCTTATAGGAAGGGGGAAAAAAGGACAATGAACAAAAAGTAAACAAACAAAAATCTCCAAACAACAAAATATCCATCTTTCCCCCAAAGCAGCTCTCCTTTTTTGAGAGACTCAAATTCTGAAGATGGAAGAACCAGATGAATAAAAAAGTCACAGATTTTTTCAAAGCAGCTGATTTCCAGGTAGAGACCAAGCTGCAGAATGTGAGGTTATCTGGCAACAATTGTCCATGGGGCTGTGAGGAATAATCTAAACAACTGATCTAGTAATAACTTTGTCCTCCTACCCTTGTCCCTCTCTGTCTGATAACATGTGGTTGCATTAATTTAAGAAAAAATTCACTCAGCTAGAAATAAAGAGGTAATTTTGAATACTGTGGGATAGATATTGTTTTGACAGGAAGAGGCAGCAATGAGGTGAGTATGAAAGGAAAGAAGGGATAGATTAAGTCCTAGGCATAGGTCTGCCCCATCCCCACCTTGTGGATCTAGTTCCCCAGTCTGGGTAGTTATGGCAAAGGTGGCATACAGAAGCCATTCAGTGTTCCTAAGGCATTTTGTTTGGCTTTGCCAATCCCAGCCTAGTCTGGTCCGCTCCCCTAGCATGTGGACTGGAGAGAGGGACTCACCACAGGTTGAGCATTTTCAGGCAGCTACAGAGTGTGTAAAGAGAAAAACACAGAAAGGAAGAGAGAGAGAGAGAGAGAAAGAGATATTAGTCCACAGACGTGAGATGGAAGCGACTCCCTGTGAGCCATGCAAACATGCAGTATGTTGAGTCTGTGTTTAGTTTCTTCCTCTGTCAAGGTAGGGTGAGTAGGCCCAGGCCACTTGACCCCCACCCTAAAATGGAGGGGGCAGGTGCCTGATAGAAGCGTCAGGATGGGAGCTGGATCTCAGCGAGGGGTGAGGCAAAACAGAGAGAGAGCTCACGGGTGCCCGCTTCCTGGGCACGTTCCAGGAAGGTAACAGAGAAAGAGCAAATGATCCTGCCTATAGGAATTCGATCAAGCACCAAAAGCCAAGCCATTTGGTTCCTACTTGAAGTCTTAGTGCACAATTTGTTAAGCTAACCTCCCAACTATTCTGAGGGAAAGACAAGTCCCTAGGCTTTCTGTAAGTCAACACGCTTGACCAAAGCAGTGAGCAGTTAGCTCTTTTCCTAAAGGGGGAAACAAGGTTTGAGAGACACTTATTAGGACAGGACTTAAGAGTGAGGTGGGTCACTGCTCTGGACAGGTATAGCTGCCAGAGAAGGGCCTAAATCCCAGGCTTTTTAATTTTCAGGGGAAAAGAGGCCTGTATTTGTTAAAGTTAGTGGATAACCAAAAATTCCTTAAGTCAACCAAAAGGCTGCCTACCCTTCTAGTTATAGACCCTTCACTACCCTTCTCATTATACTTAAGCAAGGACATGTGTCCTGTAGCTAGAGAAAAAGGAAATTAGATGTTCATTTTGTATATGGAACAAAAACTAAGACCCTGAATTTCTCTCATTCTGTGCACAAAATAAGCTGGGTGAGGAAACCCAAATAAGAGTTTGGAAGTGAAGGTTCCATACAGTCTGTCCAGTACCCTAGTTGAATCTTAATACAGGCAGCAGCCCCTTTTTTCACAAGCAGATTGTAGGGACAAACAGCATCACAGCTGCACGTAATGAGGGGTCGTTTGGGACGTTTTGTGCTTCTCTACTCTAGCTGTGACTTCCTGCCATAAAAGTGATCAGGCAGTTGAACCCATGGCTCCACCTTACTCCCCCCGATACACATAGAAGGCCAAGAAGAAAAACATGGCTGTGCCCTGAAAGTTCCCTGGGAAAGATGGATTGGTAGCTCATGAAATCACCAGGGGAATCAGCACACAAAATGACCTAAGCTATAAGCTTTTGGATGACATTTGGTCAAATACAATTGCTCCCCTCTGGTTTCTACATCTTTAAGGCCCAAACCTAAAACTGGTGGCAAAGAGACACAGTGGTCCCTTTTTGCTAAGTGGGGAGATGTTAAACTCACTTTACACCCTAGAGTTTAGATTGTACCAAAACAGAGTACGCCAGATTTGAATCTCTTTGTGTGAATGACTCCCTATCTTACACACAGGACACAAACACCATACTCACATACACAATTAGCGTACACATTTACTGAAATGAAATGAGAAGAATGGGTTCAAGAGATAAACCTGTATAGGGCATATCATAAAATTAAAGCCCATTCAATCTTGTTTTTAAAGATTAAAACCAGAGCTAAACTTCTAGCCTTCGAAGTGATAGCTATCCATGAAGGTGAACTGCAAGTGAGGTCAGGGTGGGAATGGGTACAGCCATCTTTCAAGCCCAGACAATGTCTGGATCAGACCACACCTAGCGCAGGGGTTCCCAACCCTGGCTATGCATTCAAACGACCTCAACTTTACAAATTCCTGATGCTCCGGTCATATTCTAGATAAGTTAAACCAGAATCTCTGGGGCCAGGGTTCAGGCATTTATGTTTTCTAACAAGCTCCAGGTGACTCCAAATTGCAGCCAAGGTTCAAAGCCCATTGGGAAGGAGCACCACACTGTTCATTTGGGAGAATAAAGCTTTGTCATGGAAACTGAAAGCTTGTGAATACCATTAAAATCTCCAAAGTATCTGAGAAGAGGAGGCATGTTTCCCTACTGAAAATAGTCTCTTCCTGGCATTAAAAACTCCCCCTGCCCTCCTTATGTATGGAGGCCTTATAGAGACTGGGAGAGGAGCATTTGAAGCTGCCTGTAGTTAGCAAGGACTTGACAGGAAAGAGCCCAAGTCATCCTCACTGGTTTTTATCTACTGGGTAAGAATCCTCAAGTCCTGGCTTTCTAAGAAAAGGACCTCTTGAAAGTAAAGTGAGCCCAGCACATAGACAGGCAGCAGAGGAGTGGGCAGGAGGGACTACCACACAAAGTGTATCTGGAAAAAAGAAGAAAGCAGGTCTTGATTGGCCTCTCACCACCTTATATCTAGAGGTGTAAGCATGTTCTGGCTTGTATTTAAGGTATCTGGAGGCTCAAGAGATCACTTAGGATACAATATCACCATAAACATGTTGTGTGCTTCTGAGAACAGGATCCTGGGATAGCCTGAATGTTCTCAAAGGATTTACAAGAAAAATCATCCATATCAGGCTTGGCAGTAGTTACTGATTTGTAAAGGACTTCTCTTTTCCTACCTCATTTCTTCTTGGAGGTTAAACCTGGATCTGAATTTGGGATGGTGCAAAAAGGAAAAAAAAGTGACAGAAACGCTGCTTTTGTAGTAGAATCAGCAGTTATTTCACACCTTCCACCCCCTAATCTGAGAGTTTAAACACAGACCATGCAGAGAGCACCATGGGGCTGGTGGTATGGAAAGGGCAAGACATTCACATGCAAGAGCAGCAGAAAAGAGAGGGGGAACCTTCTCAACCTCTTGGTTTAGGGATTAGTGTGACTTCCTTTTCTTTTCAAGACCCTTTCACTTGCAGGTACAAAGACTATTTTTCTTGCCTGACTTCTCTGGGTCTCTCTGAATCCAGAATCATTAAAGTGAGAACAAAATGGCCCTGAAACCCTTGCTCCAGGACTACATATGTAGAGTGGTTAGCCAAGAACCAGAAGTTTCATGCTGTTCAGCACAGCCTAGCCTACTGTTGAGATAAGCAGATTTTTCTGTGTCACAGGGAGCAAGAAGCTCCAGAGCGCCAAGAGGCTCATGACTACTATTTATTGTAGGTCTTCTATTATGATTCATTTAGTTCACTATGTCTTTTTCCCCAGGTGGACTAGAAAAATATGGTTGTCTTCCATAAATCACAACTAAAGAAGGGCAGCAGCAGCCTCAAGGTACCATGCAAAAAATAAAATGTTCCAAACAAGAAAGCTGTGGACACAAGCATGAGGAATTCAGTCTGAGATGAGCAGCACACAGAGAGGAAGAGACAGATATAAGATTTTTCAATCTATGACCCAGAGCCCCCTTGAAAGACGAACGTACTTAGCTTCCTCCACTACCTCCACCTCGGGGTGAGCTGTGATTGGTGCATTGGAGTGGGCTCCCGTGGGGTCATCGACATTCAGCTCTCCATTTGTTGAGCTAACCACCTGAAACAGAAAGACACAGTGTGGGAGATACCATGACAATAGGAGCGTCCTGCCAGTGGCAGAGAGGGTCATTAAGGTAGAGCTGGTCTCTATCTTAGCTACGAGTCAGGCAGTGTCTGGAATGTTTGTTTTCCTGGCTTGAGTAGTCAATTATCCTAATTTAGGAAAGATTCCCAGATCCCATCATGCGAGAAAACAAAATTCAATCGAAATCATATAATAACTTCCATACTGAATGCCTACATTGTGTGTGTGTGTGTGTGTGTGTGTATGCGCATGTATTAAGTATGTGTAAATTTAATCCTCACAAAAATCCTATGCAATAGATATTACTCTAATTGTACTCCTCTTAATTTATTATGCTATAATTATATATAGACTCAGTGATGACATTAAAAAATTCTACAAAGGAAATCAATAGTGGGCATCAGAAACTATAAGCAATCAAACTTTCCTTCAGAAATTTCTTCATGGCTTTGACCATCAGTTTAAAATTATTCAAGTAACAAGACAGCCATGCCCTGTCTGGTTAGAAGGCAGATGGTAAGGAAATGCTTTCCCTTGGAAAACCAGTCACATTTCAACAACCTTTATTTCAGGTTCAGTGTCATCCCATGTCTCACTGATGGTCCCCGAATTGTAACTGAAGGTTCTCAATACTGTCATCTGGTTAATGTGGACCCGATCAGACTTCTCTTGCTTGTGCAGCTGCTTCTGCCACCTGGTTTCATTTCCAGCACATGATTCCTGCTTATGTGGGTGCTGGGGAGTGGGAAAAGGGACCCCACTGCACAAACCACTCTGCTGTTAAAGATCTCGGCTGAAACATGGGAGAGAACCACAAAATAGAATAAACGGTTCGGATATCATATGCACTTGGGTAAGTAACTTCATTTAGTTGAGACTGTTTCTTACGGGTTGATGTGAGAATTATACAAGGAAACGTATGAGACTGTGTCTGGTACAATACCTGGTGCACAACAATGGAGGCAGAAGAGCACGGTAAACAAGAAATGGGCTCTAGTCCTAGTCAGCCCTGGGTTTGAACCCTAGCTCCACTACTTACTTGCTGTAGGTCTTTGGGCAAGATTCTCAATCTTTCTGTAAATCAATCTGTAAAATGGAGACACAATGCTGCCTACCTAATTGGGTTACTATGCAGACAATCCACAGAAAGTGCTTAGGCCTGTGCCATGGTACATAGTAATGGCTCAATAAATACTCATATTACTGTTATTTTCCCTTTAGAAATGTTTCTTCTTATCTCCCTCTAGATCTGGCCAGGGTCCTTACCAGCACTTAATTCGTAAAAATTTCCGGCACAGTCATAAAGAGGAAGATGGGAGTAAATGCTTAGTATAAATAGTCTTTATGGTATTTATTCAAAGAAGAAAGGGCAGACAAGGTAAGTACAATACTACTTATTAGCAGTGTATGCCCACCATTACCACTAAATTACTACTAAATACTAAAAGAAGTATTTATTGTGCTTACTTAAAAAAAATGAAGACAGTGCTGTAAGGTTAAAGAAACCTGTAACATTAAATTTGGACTTATGCAAGGGAGACCCAAATTTCTGCTAGTGATCCAATTTAACGTCTCTGACTAATGGAACCATCCGATCTTATTTATCTCTTCACATGATATAATAAATACCATATGACATTATCTATGTAGTAATCTTTCCAAAAAAAGTTTTTTTCTGAATCTAAGTATGAGGAAAACAAATTGATAAATCCAAAATGTGGGACAGTCTATAGGACAACAAGGCTGGACTCTTCAAATAACACATGTTAAAAAATCTTTTTTTTTTCTCTTTTAAGACAGGGGTAATTTTTACAAATTGAAAGAGATTAAGAATTCAGAGACCAAGAGATTGAAAGAAACCTAAAAGGCATAACAACTAGATGCAATGCATGAATCTTGATTAAATCTGGAACACCATAAAATTAATTTGGGGGACAATTGGGGGAAATATGATGTGAACTGTACATTAGATATTATGGAATTATTATTAATTTTATTGGCTATGAAAATGGGTGTTTTTGGTTACATGAGAGAATACTTCTGTTTTTAGGAAATGCAGGTTGAAGTACTTTGAGATAAAATGTAATGATAACTACACCTTACATTCACACAGTGTAGTGAACACTCCCCTTGTCCCCCCCAAACCCCTCACACAGTGTTAAAGAAAATATGGTAAAATCTTAATAATTTGTTTATCTAGGTTAAGGATATACACAGGTTCATTGTATCTTGCCCATCCCCCCGCAACCCCAACTTTTCTATAGATTTGAAAATTTCAAAAAAAAAAAGTTGGGGAAAAACAGCAAAAACAAGAGGTTGAGGAGAGAGGATTTACAGACTGAAGAACCACAGCTCCTCATGCTACTGTTGTCCTGTTAACTTCCTCAGACGACATTTGCTTCTTGTGGGCATATTCTGGCTGCGCACTAGTGCTAGTGCTGTAAGTGCATTCTGTGAGCACAAGGATTAAAGGAGAAATCATAGTAATTTTCCTAATGAACAATTCAGCAACTAGACAAGATGTTAGATGAGATGTCTGGGCCTCCACTGACATGAACAAAACAGGAGTCAGCACCACCACTGCACACTACCTGGTGACTTTGGGTCATTGTGCCTGCTCATGGTGTTTCATGTGCCTCGTACTCTCTAATTTCTCCTTGCTATGGAGGCCCACAAGCAATGTGCTTGGGCAACTGAAGGAAGAGGTTATCCTCATTTTGCAGACCAGACATCTTGTCTGTATCATAGAGAATCTGGTCTCAAGTGAATCAAGTGAACCAGTTGCCTAACCTTACACTTAACTGCACTTTGGGAATCAATCTGGCCCTTCAAATCATTCACTTAATTATTTCAAGATGAAAGTAGAGTTTATCAAGCTACTGAACTGCTGCCTACATGTTCAGTAGAAAAAAAACACTAGTATAGGTGACCAAAGAGCTCAATTCCAGGCTTAGCTTATCCTCTGTGAGCCCTAGTTTCTAATTCTGTTAGGCTATGTCAATAACCTTGGTCCTATCAACCTCATAATTACTAAGTACAGTAATATCTAGGAAAGCAACTGGAAAAATTGTAAAAACCTTATGAATATAATACATTATTAGTATTTTAAACAGCATCATTTTTATACTTTTTCTATTGCATTTTTTAGTATAACATCATTTTTAAAAAGCTTGTTGTACATTTGGAGTACCATTTATTTTGTTGTAATCACTATTAAAATTAACCCCACATTCCTCTGCCTGAATCACACAAGAACAAAGTAATTAACATTTTATGGGATTATGCATGAAAGAGATTAAAGTTAAATATTATTTTGAACTTGAGTCCTTAAATTGGTAACATCCCTTTTGGGAGTCTCAAAAATTTGAGTTATTTGTCCCATTTTTTAAAATATTAACGGGAAGAAAAATCAGACCTGTGTACCAAAGGAAGAAGTATTTTAGCTGATAATCAACATTTCAATCCTATTTCTCACAACTTACATATTTGGTAATTCTCTACTTTAGCTTCCCTATCTATATAATACTGAACTCAACAAGAATCGTAAATAATCAAAAATTATAAAGATTTCAGCACTATAAATATTGGCTAAATGTTATATGTTATTCTTAAGTCTCAGGCCCTTGCTTGGTCCTAGATATGTCTAGATATTTACTATACATTTTTAATTTAAACAATTTTAGAGTCATCTTTCTGAAAAACAAAAATGTATTGTCTTCCTGAATCTGGATCTCTACATATGGAACATCTTTGGAAATATCAGAAGGATGGGAACTGTAGGGACCTGCATATTAAATAAGTTGGAATGGGAGTGTCCATGTGCTCCGTCAGCACAAACTTCTCTCACTTCAGAGTTCAACATTCCCTACCTATCAGGTATCTGCAGGTCATTGAGGTTAGGCCAAGCATGATTTGACCATATTACCCTTGGGAAGTGAGACAACTCAGAAATATGGGCATCTGTTGTGTTAGAAAAGGTACTACTGAATTGGTTTGCAAAAAGCCTAACCTTTATAAGTTTATAAAAGTTGGGGCTAAAATTAAAGAGGCAGACATAGTGAGGGACAGCAGAGTTTAACATAATATTAGGGAAATGGCACAACTACCTATTCCCTATCCAAATGTCAAAGAAGGTGGTAGAACTTAAGTTTATAGGGAGTCAAGGGAGGTTGCATTTGTCAAAAGTGCTGACAAAACCTTTAACTGACTGCAATTCTAATCTAAAGACAACCCCTCAGAGTGGACAGGAAACACTGTCCAAATGAACACCCCTATGTTCTAAGAAAAAATATCTAGTAAACTAAACAGTCCAGATATGCCTGACTACGAAGCGTTTCCCTTTTAAAGTTATTTTTAAAAAATATTTTATTTATTTATTTTTGGAGAGGGGAAGGGAGGGAGAAAGAGAGGGAGAGAAACATCGATGTGTGGTTGCCTCCCATATGCCCCTCGACCGGGGACCCAGCCTGCAACCCAGGCACTTGCCCTGACTGGCCCCTTGGCTCGCAAGCCAGCATTCAATCCAACAGCCACACCAGCCAGGGCTAAAATTATTATTTATCTTTGTTTCTTTTCTAATTACAAAGTAAGCCCGTTTATCATAAAAAAATTAGAATATTAAAAAAGACAGCATAAAAATCGGAACTTTTCAGTGACATCACATGGAAGTGACTAGTGGGAAATTTGATATATGTTCCCCAAGCATAAATGTATGCAAAGTATTTACATAAAATGACTAAGAGTAAATATACTAGGCTTTGTGGGCTATAGAGTCTGTGTCAAAGTCATTGAACGCTACCATTTTAGCATTAAAGCACCCACAGATAGTATGTAGATAAATTAATGTGGCTGTGCTGTCATAAAACTTTATGTACAAAAACAGGCAGAGAGTGGGATTTGGCCCATTGGTTGTGTTTGCCCATGCCTACTCTACAATATATTTCTTCTTCTTTTGTCTTGTGCACACACTAATACATGTTTATGTATATTCTCTTTTATATATATTTTTCATACATATGTGAAAATAAAAAAAAATGGGACCAAATTTTACATACTGTTTTACAACTTGCATTTTCCACAACATATCTTGGACATTCGTATAATATGCAAAGATCTTTTATCTCAACTGTCTGCAAATATCGTATTTGTTTAGTTAATGCTGAACTGATGAGCGTTAAGTTGCCTCTGATTTTCTGGTATTAGAAACAAGCCAGTAATAAACATTCTAGAACTGCACTGTATAACAGAGTAGCTACTAGCTACATGTGGCTACTGAGTACTTAAAATGTGGCTAGTCCACATTGATATGTTTGTTCCTTAAGTGTAAAAATAAATGCTAGATTTTGAAGACTTAGTTTAAAAAAAGGTAAAATATTTCTAATGTTTTTAATACTAACTACAAGTTGGAACTATTTCAGATACACTGGGTTAAATACACTATTAAAGTTAGTTTCACCTGTTTTTTACTTTTTAACATGTGATTACTAGGAAATTTTAAATTACAAATGTGACTGACATTTCTCTTAAAAGCCATGTTCTAGACCATTATTTCTTTAATATCTGTGCATTCCTGAGGAGTATTTATCTGAAACTGGACTAACTAGTTCACAAAGTGTAGATGTTTAAGATTTTAACAGATATTGCCAAACTACCCTCCAAAATAGTTGTAATTAACATTAACAACAGAAGGATAGGGTATTATTAAACTTACACATTTTTTAAAATGTGATAGACAAAAACTAATGTTTACATATATTTTTAATTGTTACATTTTATTTTATCAGAGTTATATAAGCACACTGTGTAAAGAATTAAGTATTTCTACAAGAATTTTTAGAAAAAACAGCAGTCTCTTACCCTCATTCCACTATTTCCTCTTCCTTGATAGCTGACTCTTGTTTTTTATCTACATATATCTGAAAACATGCATCTCAATTCATCTTTTGGTATTATAGTCAACTTTTCCATTCATCTATTCTCCCATTATACTTTATCCTGCATTTTTCACTAGATTAATTGGTAGTGTTTGCACCATGATTATTAAAAGCTATTTATAGTTGTGCTATGGAGTATACTATGGTTATCTTTCCTTCCCTGTATAATTTCTTGCTTTCCTTGGAGTTAATTATCTTTTATTAAGGTTTATTTTTACTTAGCTTTAAAAAAAAAAGATTTTATTTATTTATTATTTCTTTATTTTCAGAGAGAGGGGAAGGGAGGGAAAAAGAGAGGGAAAGAAACATCGATGTGAGAGAGAAACATCAGTTGGCTGCCTCTCACAGGCCCACAGCCAGAGACTTGGCCTGCAACCCAGGCATGTGCCCTGACCAGGAATCAAACCAGCAACCTTTTGGTTCACAGGCCAGAGCTCAATCCACTGAGCCACATCAGCCAGAACTACTTAGCTTTTTATATATATTAGCTACTTTCACGTTATTCTGACACATTGATATCCTACTCAATTCATCATTTTGATAAAATTGCTCATAAAACCTTGTGATCACCTGTCTGGGACAGACTATCCTATCCTGGGATCTCCTGACTTCACCATTATACTGGGGAGTCCCTTTACTTCTCTTCTGGGTTGGATCTTTGTTTTCTGGATCTCATATATTTACTCCTCTTTCTTGGTTTATTCACTCATTTTCATAGTGCACATCCTCTTGTAGCTTCATTAAAAAGCATGCATGAGAAGTAAAATGTTGAGACCACAGATTTCTGAAAATATCTTTATTCTATTACATTCCAACCAGATTGACAGTTTGGCTGACTACAGAATTCTAGGTTGAAAATAATTTTCCCCTCAATTTTGAAGGCACTGTTCATTGGTTTCTAGCTCCCAGTACTGCCATTCAGAAATGTGAAGCTATACAAAATCCTGATCCTTGGTTTGCATATGACTGGTCTCTTTCTGGAAGCTTGAAGGATTTTCTCTTTGTCCTTGGTGTTCTGAAATTTCACAATGATGTGCCTTTGTATGGTTCTATCATCCATTACGGTGGGCACTCAGTGGACCCCTTTGATCTGGAAACAAGTCTTTATGAGTCCTGGTAAATAATTTTGATAATAATTTCCCTCCACTTTCTCTGTTCTAACACTGGAATTCCCATTATTTAGAATTTGGACTTTCTAGGCTCTCCTTAAATCTTACATTGTTTTCTACTATCTTCATCTCTCTTTCTCTTTATTTTACTTTCTGAGAGACTTCCTCTCAACTTTATCTTCCAAACTCTTGAGTTTAAATTTTTGATTATGTTTTCATTTTCTAAGAGGTCTTTTTTTCTGTTTGCTGTAAGAGGGTTACTTTTGAAAATACCATCCTGTCCATGCTTTACAATCACAGTATCTTCTGTTTCTGATGATATTAATAATAAGGTTTGTTGTTGTTGTTGTTGTTGTTGTTTGCTTTGGTCTACTTTCCTCAGAAGTCTGGTAATCCTTGATTGTCTGCTCATATATAAAACTGGGAGACTGCGAAATTAATAAGCACTTTGAGTACAGGAGTGGGACTTTTAAAGTATGGCTCTCACTGCAGAATGACCTGGCTGGGCCATTTCAGTAGGGGAAATCCTTCTGTCAGTGTGCTCGGATGGTTTCTTTTGGGCTGGTCAGATTCCCCAGAGCCAGCTGTCTCCTGTCAGAAGCACACACCTGGCTATCAGCATTCTGAAGGACTAAATGGGAAAGCAGGCAGTCAGGGCACAGACATTCACTTAATCTCCATTTTTTATCAGGCTGGTACTCTCTCCCAAATGTGCCTTGTCCCCAGTAATCTAGAGACCCTCTATTTTGCCTTCTTTAAAGAATAAATCTTTATTCTTTGCTGAGAATGGGGAAGAGGATCTAGGGATCTCTGGCTTCTTAAATAGATTTTTAACCAATCTTCATTATTTTAGCATATGCCCCTCCACACCCACCTCCGCCTTATTAAAAGGCCAACTACTCAACCTCCTGGGGATTCCCCAGTGCATACAGGCTCTTGGTTTTCCCCGACTAGCACAGGATTCCATTTTCTTGAGACTCCTAAGTCATTTAATAACTGCCCATCTGCTTTCCAGCTTCTAATATTTTGTTGCTGTTGCCTCCTCTAATGTTTTCTACATCCTTATATGGATTTATGCCTTTAAAAAAAATTGCTTTATTGTTCTTTTAGTGTTCTTTCAGGAGGGGGTGAGAGCAGATCTGCGTGTTTAATCCATCATTTTTACCTGGATGTTCCTATGAGGTTTTTACAGGGCCAAAGTTGTCTCCTAACTTCAGTGAATTACTCCATGTAAGAGAAATCCTAGACAGTCATGCCTATCAAGATGTATTTCTGTGTGTAAAAGGTGTGTCTATCTCTTTACAAAAATTTCTATTTGGTAGCTCTGGGTTCACTTGTGTACTCCAATTGGTGGTATCACAAATATGACAAGAACATTGTGGTTAAGATTAAGGCAGTGACATAAGGAAAGGTAGGAGATACATGTACTGCTTAAGTACTAGAAAGAACAGAGATTGAAAACAGTCTAGATGAAGTCAGAAATAATTCCCCAAGACCACATTTACTCCAGGAGAAAATAGGAATCACCCAGCTACTTGGGTACCCACTCAGAAACAGTTAATTTGGACTAATAAACATTCTCACATTATGCACTAAGGCACGTATCATCTTGGAATGAGCTAAATATGCAGTCCTCTATCCAAAGAATACTTCATTTTATACATTTCAGGCCTTTACAATCAGACTTCACACTAACACACGTCTACCTTGGCGTTATTTTTATGGCCTATCATGAGTGGATCAAGATTATAGAACTAGTTTAAGAAGAAATCAGTATCAGAAATCAGACATTTCTTAATCAGTGACAATAACCAGCAATCACTTCAACAAGTGACTCTTACAAGTCTACGAAGGCAGAGAATAAGGACACAGATATTCAGTTACCTACAGAAGCACCTCTAGCTTGCTGTAAGTTTCCATTCTAAAGGAACTAGAGTTTCAGAAGCAAGCTAACATTCTACCAGCCAAACTGGGAAGGCCGGGAAAAGGCAATAAAGGCAGTAAGTACCTGTACTGATCCCCCATGGCGGTCTGCAGCCAAGTGAGACGTCAGGTACGAGGTATTGGTCTGCCGGCTGGGCTGGATTTCCCACTCTCCTCGGCGCTCTGACGATGCAGTCTGCTCAGGCATTAGGAAGCATGAGAGCGAGATATGGAAGGAAAGGTGAAGCAATAGCGAGAAATAACAAAATCAAGTACATTAGTGCTCCTGAGGGTTTTGTTGTTGCTTTGGATTTTAAATTTTGCTGCAAAGCACTGGGAAAAAAGTTAGCTTGGCTACATGCATTTCACAGCTTAATGAACCAATACATGACAGTCTATAACACATCATCTTCACCCAAGACACAGAAAAAAAAAGATCACCAAAAGAGAAAAAAAAAATCAAAAGTTGGAATCACCTTTTAGCTTCCATATTAATACAATTTCAGTAGCCACTAAGCAGACCAAATTCAGAATGTTAAGACTGTTGAACAAAGGAACAATCATACTCACAAATCATTTCACTGACTGAAGATCAATCTATCAATCTAAATAGACAGCAGTCAATACAGAAAATTTCTAGCATTAGGAATCAAGATAACATGACTTTTCCTTAAATAGGGAGCCCACTATTCTCAACATGTAACTCCATGGAACTTCAACCCAGACAAAATGAGCTGTGGCAATGACTAGAATACGCTTTCTTCGCTAAAAGAATGAACAAACCATCTCTTCAAAAGCAGGTTCATAGATCGAGAATATGAAAAGATGGGGGGAAAAGAAGGCTATAGTGTTTTCCTGATTCCTTTAGTTAACAGTCCCTAGTGTAGAATTAGAAAAACTTTAGATATGATCATTATGGATTTTCTCCTAAAAGGCAAAGGGCAGACTTTTCCCCAGCAAGAGGGCTTTCCATTCAAACCCTTTTTCGGATTCTGCTTTCACTTTTGCTATCATTCAGGCTCTCTCCACCTGTTTTTAAGACCTCACACTATTCTGGTCTTGTTTATGTGTGATTTTTGTTCTGAAGAATCTGTTTAGGTGCCTCTTCCCCTGTGCCAGATGGCTAAGGAGGTATTAACATCATGATGCTCAGTGGTAACAGTCCTAAGGCTCTACAAAAATGAAAAATGAGGAGTTGGAGAGGCAGCAATGAGGGATTAGTAAATCAAATTTTAATTGCTGCTGATATAAACAGCAGCAGGGGTTGTGATACGATATTGCTGCTCTGCATGAAACCGGTAAGAATTCTATAAATCCTGGAAATATTCAAAGCTATAAGTGTTGTATTATGTAAAAAGGCAAAGGAAGAGTGATGAAGTAGTGGTTTAAGGCTCCATGTTCACTCTCCCCTTTCTGTTGAAAACAGCTGTTTTAAGATTACCTATAAAAGTCACCAAAAAGGCCTCCCTTATTTTCTTCAGAAGCCTCATATACCAGCTACAGCTTACTCATCTTCTTTGTTAATGGAATATGAAGTCATATGGGTAACAGCACTATAAAGGAACCGGGCCATCCTTTCTGATGTTCCTCAGAGAATGAGCATATTCTGTAAAAAGGAAGCTGTATTAATTTGCTTGCTATATACTTTTACAATAAGGGGGGTTGGTTTTATACTGATGGTCATATCTGAGAGAATCAAAGCTACCCGAAATATACACCCCCTTCAATTATTTCTGCCAACAGAGGTTCAGATGTTTCATTTTCCAAAATAACACTGTGGTTTATAACATAATCATAACTATGTTATATAACTTATTGGCAGTGTCCATATCCTCAGAGCACTCAATCTCATTTATTCTCACTATTAGAGATTTGGGGATAAATCTGTTCTTTTAATGTTATTTTTTAAAAAGATTTTATTTATTTATTTTTAGAGAGGAGAAGGGAGGGAAAGACATAGAAGGAAACATCAACGTGTGCTTGCCTCTTGTGCACCCCCCACTGGGGACCTGGCTTGCAACCCAGGCATGTGCCCTAGACTGGGAATCGAACCAGTGACCCTTTGGTTCGTAGGCTGGCACTCAATCCACTGAGCCACATCACTCAGTTAAGGCTGTTCTTCTAATATTATAAGTAATGTCTATAATATTTATTAGTGATAGCCTCTTCAGTTCTCTCTAGGACTTTTTAGTATTTTAAATTTTTAAAAAAGATTTTATTTATTTATATCTAGAGAAAGGGGAAAGGAGGGAGAGAGAAAAATCCATGTGTGTGTGACTATCACATGCCCCTTACTGGGGACCTTGTCTGCAACCCAGGCAAGTGCCCTGACAGGGAATCAAACTAGAACCTCTTTGGTTTGCAGGCTGGCAATCAATCCACTTAGCCACACCAGTCAGGGCTGTCTATGACTTTTTTAATTTTTTTGTAACATTGAGGTACAATATTTAAGCACCTAAACTATAATACAGAACTATCAGTTCTCAAAAAATTTAAATACTTAAAAAATATCCAGACATTTATAAGCCAGTGGGTGTTGTTTTGAGTTCTATGATACATGTTCAATGCGATTACTTCTCTATTTTGCAAGAAATGCTCATAAAACACCCATGTTTTTAAGCTTAACAAAACCTTGGACAGCTGATCAACTATTATTTCTTCTTTTTTTTTGGCATGGGTTTTGTTTTATTTGTCTGTTTAATAGCTAAGAGTCATTTCAGGTCATGCCTGGCATTTTATCAAAACAAAAAGTGGTACTCTAAAGAAATAAGGATGATATTCTTCTTCTGTTTCATGTGAACTAGATGTAATGAAAGAAATCCCTGATTAACTATTACTTCAATTTTTACTGAAATACATATTAGAAATCTGGTTTGGTATTACTGTCCTATTCACAGGGCTGTGTGCTTGTTTATATTTATTCTAGGTAAATAAATAAGTTGTTGGAAGAAGCAAGATTTTTGTATAAATGCAAATGGAAAGATATTTGTCAAAGGGCTAAAAGTCACACTCCATTTCCATCCTCAAAGCAATATGCTACTTATCATTTAAAGAGAGAAAAATGTTAACATTCCCAGTTGCTTCATAAATGTTTCCAACTGTGACAAAGGAAGAGCACACTGCACCATACTATACTACTGCCTTCCAATGCCTCCTACATCCCCTGAAAGCAACAAAACCAAGTGACAGATGTGAACCTGGGGTTGATGGGTTTATTACTTTGGAAGTTACTTTTCATCATAATGCTAAACTCTATGGCTATTCTTTTCTGGAATTTAAGGGCTTGGATTGGTATCTAAAAATTGATGTAGTAGGAAGGGTCATTTACCAGTTTTAGAAAGCAACTTGAGTGCCTAGGAGCTAGATGAAACCAAGGAATGTCAACAGCTACAGGACTCAGCTAGTATACCTTCACCTGGAAGGTATTCCGGGGAATGCTGCGGACGTAGGGGTTATGACGAGGCATAATCAGCACAGGAGCTAGTTATGCTAAACAAACCAAAAGAGGAAATTGGCATGTAAGACCTTCCCTCTTAAAATCACTCATGCATGTGAGTGTATCTAAAAGGACATCAGAAGCATCTATGGACAGAAAAGCATTCAGCAAAATCAGTCTCTGCATTCATTAGTGGAAAGGCAGAGGTCCACATGGAATACGTGAATCCCAAAGGTAGGAGCATCAACCTCAGGCAGTGGGAATTCCTTGGGAGGACACTTTAAAATTTCCAGTTGTGATTGTATTTGTGTGGAAATGCTTGGTAATATCCAGTAGGTGAGAGTGGAAACAAGAAAGCAGCAATCCAGCACAGCATAAATCAAAGGCAAAGCTAATAAAAAATACTTCAGGGAAAACATAGAAGCCTGGTGTAAGAAGTCAAAACATGTGCCCAGGGCAGAGGAAACGAATCTTTCCCAGAAGTCATTTGACAGGAAATAAGGGACAAACGATGGGGAGAAGACACTAACAAGAGGGCAGGAAAACAGTCTGAAAACACCTCCGATACCACCCCCATCTACGGGTTAAAAACTATTTAAAATTCTTACTGGAGACAAAGATAGTATCTGAAGCAAAAGGCAGGCAAAACATCTTTCCCCTCTGTAGCAAACAAAAACAATCCTATTTTTTATATAAAGTTATTTTGAAAAATTAATTCTGATTACACTCATGAAAAATTTTACCCGCTTCATTACTTATTGCTCACAAAACACTTTAAAAGTTGCTATCTACACAGAACATTTTGGCTTCCCTTGTCAGTCTTCTAAGACATCATTTTATAGTCTTCAAATATAATTTATAAGGATACAGACTGAATAGTACCAAAGATTAGCTATAAATACACTAGATATTATCTCTTATCCCACTTTCAAGATAAAAACTTAATGGAGTGGGGGTAAGTTGAGGAAGAAAGAATGGGGCAGGAAGAATGGTGAAGGAAACATTTTAAAACATTTTGGGGGAATAATAAACCTTAGATATGAAATTAAAAAATGTTGACCAAGTTATTGAAATATATACTTTAATAAATATAAAAACTTCCTTCTATTAAGCTCAAATTGGCTTAAGAATCAATTTTCTTATGCTGAACAGAGGTTATTCCATGCAACTTGTCACGTGCACTAAGTGACTTCCCGTATGCTCCAATAGATACTTGATCATGTATCAGGGACGTATGAATATCAATGATAACTTGGAAGAAATTATTACCAAGCTCAATGCTGTGCAGGCCTACAGAGATGAGAGTATCACTTCTGTGGCGTTCTGAGAAAAACCACAGGAATCATCCTAGAGGTTTAAAATTCACTACTTAAACCCTTGTCCTAATTCTACATAAAATGGTGTAAGATACTTTCCCTAGGGAATAATGATTTATCTAAGTAGGATTACTCCAGAATCACCTTCCTACAAGGAAGTGCCTCAGAACACAGGGTGTCTGCTGAAATAAAAAACACTGAAGAATGCACATAGAAGAAACCCTTTAATATGGAATAGAGAATTAAGAGCAAAGGTGAGCATCAGTGACTAGGTGATAGAATGGGAGAAACTAAGACTGTATTTCAGTTTTTCACTTGCTTGTTTCAATGTCCTCCGTGGAGTTAAGATCCCAGAAATGAGGAGGGACAGTCCCCTTCTGCACTGAGCTCTATGCTGGAGGGTGGCAGGACAAGTGTGAAATTTCTACACCTGAGCTCCTGTTC